TAGGGGAAAAAAATTACTAAATTTGGAATTTCACTGAAAATTTGCTGAAAGTCCACATCCTTGAGGTGCAGGAAGACCACAATTTCCCAACTCACTTAAATTTTCAATGAAAAATTAATATTCAGTACCAAATTACCCTGAATTTTTCCAATTTCTATTGATCTTTATGGAATAATTGAAATAAAATTCACTATTTCCATTCATTTCTCCCTAAAATATTGAATTTTCAATGACGAAATGTCTCAAACTAATACTCTAATAATACTTTAACAAAAATTTCCAATAAATATCCCGGAAACTGCAGTCAAAAATCTTCCCAGTGTTCGACGAACCAAAGCATTCCCCGAAACATGCAAAAATGAATATCTCAGCTCTCTCACCGCCCCGAAATTTCCATTCTACCCTCCACGTCGCTTATCATCCCTCCCTATTCAAAATATTTCGATCTTTTCATAAAAATCCCCCCAAAAAAAAGAACTCCCGTAAATGAGAAAGCTCACCCGTTGCTTTCATACCCACAGATTGTGAAACCGTAAGCTGGTGGAATTGGCTTGGGATTACACTCGCAAGGAACGGATCATCTACATCTCGATCTGGATCCCAGAGGCTTGAAGACTCACCTCCTTTTCGTCCACCGTCTAAAAGAGGTACCATAAGGACTGAAAGGAGGAGCCGAGGACACTGAGAGAGAATGAAAAAAAAAACGAGAAAAAAATAAAGTGAATAAGAGGGATGGTTGCTATTCCACGGTGGAAGGGAGTGCGAACGCTTGCCTTTCAATGTGCCTTTCCCTCCGGTAAATGGAAATGGATGGAGATTGAATTCGTCTGAAGATGAGGAGAAATTCGCTCGCCTGGTTGGCCAGAGTGTACCCAGAAGAAAAGGTAGAGAATGGAGAAAATCGAGAAACTCAAATAAAGGGTCAGCAAAGTTGTGTCCCTCTCTCGCTGGGTGAGTTGGGAATTTTCCCCCCTCTCCAAACTCTTTTCTTACATTTGTCTCGCACCATCATTCTGCCCATGGAGGCTTGAAAATTCGACAGTGCAAGCCCAACTCAGTGTGGTATTTCCTTTATCCCAGACATTCTACCAGTCTCCAATTTGCCACCTATTCACGATTAGAAAGCGTTGGATTGCTGCGAACACTCTCTTCCTATTCGCTAAAGTCCCACTGGTGCTCCTACCCGATCACTTTGGGGACTTCATTTCTCTTTTGCTACGTATTCTACTGTTGCAGGAGTCGGTTTATTCAGACGTCGATTAGGAGATTCAGAAGGGCAAGAGGAATTGTTTTAATTTTTCACTTCAGTGGGAAATTCCCCATTCATTCATTTATTTTTCTTCATTTTCAAAGTATTTTTGTTTTCTTTTGGATGTTCGGATATTTTGGTGTTCGTCTTCGGAATTGTCCCAGTCTTCAATTTTCTCCCACTCTCGTCCTATTTACAAAAGTGCCACTCGTGTTCTTCTTCGATCCCTTTGGGAACTTCATTCCTTTTTTATTACGTATTCTACTATGGCAGGAATCAATCTATTCAGATGTTGATTAGGAAATTTAGAAGACCAAGAGGAATTCTTTAAATTTTTCATTTCAGAGGATCTTCAATCGCCAAAAACTCAGGAACTGCAGTGTAAAATTCCCCATTTATTTATTTATTATCCTCATTTTTTAAGTATTTTTCAAGCTTCAAAAGGAAGGCTGATTCATTCAATTATTATCCTTTGGAACTTTATTTTTTTCTATTTATCTGCGATGAAAATAAACAGAACTTAGTAATTGTAGAAGCCTCTTCCCTGAGTGGACACAGTAAACAAGACATTCTGATGTGCATTGTTGGAATTCTACGTCTCTAATTTGCTACCTATTCACGATGAAGCACATAATTGCTGCGAATACTCTCTTCTTATTCGCAAAAGTCGCAGTGGTATTCCTCTTCAATTCCTTTGGGAACTTCATTCCTCTTTTATTACGTTTTCTACTATTGCAGGAATCAATTTATTCAGACGTTGATTATGAAATTTAGGCGGGCAATCGGAATTCTTCAAATTTACCATTTCAAAGAATTTTCAATCGCCAAAAACTCAAGAACCGCTGTCATTCTCCATTTTTAAAATTTATTTTTATTAATCAAGGTATTTTTTCAAGCTTCAAAATGAAAGCTGATTCACCCGAATCGTATCATTTGATCCCGACAAATTTAAAGATATGCGAACATGAAAAATAACCTTTCTGCGAAAGTATTCACAAATTCATTTTTCTCATCCCGAAACTTCATTCTTTTCTATTTATCGCTGATGAAAATAACCACAACGTGGTAATTGTAGAGCAAGCCTCTTCCCTGAGTGGACACAGTAAACAGGATATTCCGATGTGCATTTTAAATTAAGGGAGAATGAAGGGTGAAAAGGCACGCGGAAAAGAGGTTCACTCGGTCAGCCCCGCCCGTAGGCGAAGTAATCTTCATATTTTTGCATTTTAATCGTATTCCTGAAAATTTAAATAAGAACGTAAACATAAAGTTGAAGGTTGTTGCTTCATTATCACAATAAAAATGTATATCAGAATGTGGGTGAAGGTAAAATCGTTGGGTGATGGATGTGGTTCTTTGATTAAAAATTGAAGTTGCAGCACGTTTGCACTATCTGTCTCTATGTGTCATCAACTTTTAGGAAATACCTTATTTTCTTCTCCCGGTTCCATGCAACTTCAAAAGATTCAGAGGGGCGTCACTGAGATAAAGTACTCCGACGAGTGGTGAATTCAGAATAGAAAATTTGAAAGTATTCTTCAATAAAGAATGAGAGGAGTTCTAAGTAGTAGATCCTGGTGAATCAAATTGGCGAAATAACGAAGTCTGTAATGGACTTCAGGTGAATAAATTGGATTATCAACTTTCGCGAATCTCATAATCCATTCGGATTAATGGAATACAGCATATAATAAATATTATACAATTGCCGAGTACTTCGAGACGTAGATATCCGAGGAGAATTGTAGCTCTCTCGGAACAATGGTAATTAAATAAAGTAAAGGGATACAAATGGAGTTTCAAGATTCGAGAGATTGTGGATATCGAGTGATCCCACCTTGAGTGAGTGAAATAACGTCTTGAGTTCTACTTGAGCCAACGATTGAGACAATGCCCATTGTCTTGATAATGGCTGCGTTAAGGGGTGTCGCGAAATTTCCGTAATTTCTCTAGAAACGTTAAAAGCTGCCAAGTTGGGGCTTTGAGTGCCGCCGAGCGTTGGGGAGAAGTTTTCATCAATAGACGAAACTTTCAAGTTCGAAAAAAAAATCGCTCATGATAGAATTTCAAGAAACATTCGGGAGAAGGGAATCTGTTAACGTGTGAAGGTAATTTCATATTTTCAGTGGTATTATTAGCGCTTTAGCAGTGTTTAAAAAAATTTGAAATTTTCGGGGCACTTGATGAAAGGTTTTCTCACTTTATAGTTTCAATGGAATTGCAAAGAATTTCTTTATTGAAAAATTCGGAATTTTATGGGCAAATTAATTTGTTCCGTTTCAAAACGAAATATTTATTAATTTATCGAATCCCTTAGTCTAAGAAAACAGTGCGCCAAGACACATTGTTAGAAATTTTTCGAAATTTCATGGGAAATATGCTAGTAATCCTCATGAGAGTGATATTGAATTCGATTTAGGGGAAAACTGCTTGTGAAATTTCAAAATTTAGGTAGAATTTGAATAAATTCATGAGTTTTCAGTTGCAGTGAGACGTGAATTTCACGACTTCATTGAATTTTTAATGAAACATGAATATTCAGGAACAAAATGATCAAAATTTTCCCTAAATTTTCCTGGTTTCTCCGAATTTCCGCAAAATAAAACTGAAAAATCAAGTATTTTATTGATGTTCAGATGGTTCGAACAGAAAATCAATGAAATATTTGATGTTTCAATGACAAGATTATCTGAAATTGAGTAGAAATTACACATGATAAAAAATTTCGGTATTCAACATGAAAAATTCAGACAAAATTTTTTACCAGTGCACATGAAAAAATTTCTACTATCAAATACTAATATTCAATCTTAATCATCCTATTAAAATCGTAATATCCAAATCAAGTGAACCAAATTGCACTATCTTGACTCATCCAACCACAAATAATCTAAAGAATATTTAAGTTGAACTAATTTTATCCTTTGAAATTCAGGTAAATATATTGTTATTTTGGTGAATTCTCGTCGTCCTGCTGCTCAAAAATAGTAATTTATAGATAATAATCTGCCTCAAATTTATTCCTAAAGAAAAAATAATGAAAGTCTATCCCAATCCTTTTATCCTTAATATTAAAACTATAATCGGCCAGTAACCAGATCTCGCAAAGACCCCCGTCCAGTGCAAAAGTACAGCTGAAATAACCCGCAACTATCCCCCCACAAACCCCAAAAATCCCATCACTCCCCGCTTAAAACTTTAAACTGCAATACCTCGACAATTAATCCCGACGTTCCCTTATCTCAAGAAGTTACCAGGTATACATGTTTAAGTGTAAAACTTAAATTAAATCCCTCCAGCTGCGTACGTGATGCGGACAGTCCTTAACTTGATTGTTCACTCGTCCACGATAACTTTACAGTAAGGAGGTGTACTAGGTGGTTACGTTAGCTGAGGGGTAACTAAAACTTGTGCGGGCGAAGATGATCAAACGGTTTTTCAAGTTCAGAGAAGTACTTTTCAGGATGGTAAGGCCATTTGTGGCGATTCGAGCTGGCAATAGCCACCACTTTGAAACTTTTCCCAGGAAACTTGAGGTGTTTTTTTTTTATTCCATTGAGTAACCAACTAATGAAATGGGAATGGCCCCTACAGCTGCACCACCTACATTTATGGGACATTTTAAGTTCAGGGAGTGTGAAGTTTCCACCAAGGGACCTCACCTCAAAAGACCCATTCATTCCATTTCCATTAATTCTTTCAAACAAATAGACAATTTCTCACATTTAATTAAAGTGATAACTACGGATGATTCTCTTTTGTTAATTATAATCTCTTATATAATGCTTTATTCTTTCAATTATATTACAGTCTTGTATCCGCAGTTAATCGTGCTCGTAGACTATAAATATTTACAGTGTTTGACAACGAAGCATCACAAATTTATTCATCGATTAATATCAATCATTTAATCGTTCCATTGCCATTTCAGTTATTTACCGTCAATTGCCTCGGACATGCTCCAGTGAGTTGATCAATATCAATACACCAGACTTTCATCATTTTCGGAATCAATTGGTAATTAGCTAACAGCACCCTTTGCCACTCTCATCATAATTACGATAACCGCCGTATTTTATCTATACACACTCCAATTATTCTCCCATCAATCGCCTTTTATTCACTCTTTCATCCATTATCAGTTCAAAAACACTCGTAATCTATCAAATATCCTCACACCAATACTTTCTGTTTGGCTCGATCCTCAATTGCCATTAGACTTTTTTACATTGGAAAAACAATAACAGTAGTGACAAACAAAAATTACATTTCCATTTTGTACACTTGACAATTAGTCGGAGATGAAACAAAAACCCCACTGGGGTATTTTTTTCTCAACGGGGAGTCAGCAATTATCAGAAATTGATAATTGACTTGATTGCACCATCATTCATCCCCACGTAATTCATGCCCTCTGTTAATTGATGGCTGATAGATTTATCAAATGGTGGCGAGCAAAAAATACTGTAACTGGAGCCATTGTCAATTAACGGTGGCGAAGAAAACTTTTAAATTTGATAGGGGAAAATCAACTACGATGCAAAATCATGGGAGCAGTAGAGTTATCATTCCTCTTTGTACTCAGCTGTTAGTTATTTTTTCGAATGCATCTAGAAGTAGCAAATGCCCCGTTGAAGGTTCAACTGCCAGTGGACAATCGGGTTAGACCGCTCCAAATGTTTGATCAAATATTTCGAAAGTTTATTGGATAATCTTCGCTAGGAAATTCTACAGGATTGATCTCCGAGGAATTCCGACAACTCCGTACGAAGCAGCCCTAGATTTCATCGGAAAGTATAAACTAATCTCAAGGTCATCATTGTTGGGTGTCAGTTTACAGCTCTTCCTCTCGTAATTAGATTTCGAAATGTAATCTTCGCACGAAACAACCCCGTAGAACAGGATAATCCCTAAATTACCCCAAAATCACAAAATCGTAATGGAAAAACTCCAATAAACTACGATCGTTTCCCCTGACTAGCCCCCGGACTAGAAGGCGAGTACAACCCAAGTTTGAGTCCCAATTCCTTCGGTTTTCTCGTGATATTTCTCACTGGAAATGGATTGAACTGACCTTTGGGACTGGCCCCAGTATCGTACCCACCAGAGACTCTGGTGACGCCATCCAACGGTCCGAGCGTCATCGAGGCTTTCCGGTAAGCGATCGACTCCCTAGACGGTGCTTCAAACTGCATCCTGCCAGGATCATCACTCATCTCACCGGTCTTTCCCTCGACATCATCGAGACTCGAGAGTTTCGAGTTGTAGGGGCTGCCAGTTTTCCCATAACTCCTCTCCTCGAATTGATAATTAGGGGAGAGATCCCTTCGGTGTGTCATCGGAAGGTACGAGCCAATCTCAAGGTCATCGTTGGTGGGTGTCAGTTTATAGCTCTTCCTCTCGTAATCAGATTTCGGGAAGTAATCCTCGGGGAATTTCGCGTGGTTCCTCGCCCTGTGCTCAGACTTTTCGTAGGTTTCTTAGGTAATCTTCAGTAGGAAATTCTACAGGATTGATCTTCGAGGAATTTTGACGACCCCGCAAAAAACAACCTCATAGAACAGTGCAATCCATAAATTATCCCAAAATCACAAAATCGTAATGTAAAAACTCCAATAAACTACGATCGTTTCCCCTGACTAGCCCCCGGACTAGAAGGCGAGTACAACCCAAGTTTGAGTCCCAATTCCTTCGGTTTTCTCGTGATATTTCTCACTGGAAATGGATTGAACTGACCTTTGGGACTGGCCCCAGTATCGTACTCACCAGAGACTCTGGTGACGCCATCCAACGGTCCGAGCGTCATCGAGGCTTTCCGGTAAGCGATCGACTCCCTAGACGGTGCTTCAAACTGCATCCTGCCAGGATCATCACTCATCTCACCGGTCTTTCCCTCGACATCATCGAGACTCGAGAGTTTCGAGTTGTAGAGGCTGCCAGTTTTCCCATAACTCTTCTCCTCGAATTGATAATTAGGGGAGAGATCCCTTCGGTGTGTCATCGGAAGGTACGAGCCAATCTCAAGGTCATCGTTGATGGGAGTCAGTTTATAGCTCTTCCTCTCGTAATCAGATTTCGGAAAGTAATCCTCGGGGGATTTAGCAAGGTACTTCGCCCTATACTCGGATTTCTCGTATGAGTGATCTAAGGGCGAGGCCAATGGTAATGTCCTCTCGTCTTTGTTAATGCGATTGATCGACACTGGCTCATCATCGTAATACGACACTCCACGATCCAGATCCCCTGGATAACCCCTGTATGATAAATCCTCCCGTATCTCCTCGCTCGGTACATTATCCTCGTCATACCTAACGCGAAACTCCAGTGTCTCCTTGGATAACAGCTGACGTTTACCAATCTCATATTTCCTCATACCAGGTCGATCAATATTACCGAGAAGTCCCAGACCCTCGTCGTGCACTGATTTATCATAAGTCTGAGGAAAGGGATTTGAGGGTTTGAGGGGTGATACCTTTGATGTGGCGAAATCGTAGGGTTTGTACGTGTCGTACGGACTTTCTAGGGAATCCTCGAAGGGTTTCTCTGGTTTCATGTAATCTAAGGACGGTAGTTGTGGCTCGTAGGACGGTAAGTCTGATCCATAAGCACCTCGTGAGATGATCTGATGAGAGAGACTCAGGGTGGGAAGAACGTGGACTGACGAGATTTTATTGAGCTTCTCTAGTTCACGGTAGATGTCAATGTCACTTTTCGGGGAGAGACCCTCAACGCTATGGAGATCGTACTTTCTTGGAGGTTCATAGGTCTGTGTGATGTCTGGGTAGTGGTGGAATTTTTCTACTGTCGAAGTGTCTTGGATTGATTCAAGATCGCTTTTGGTCTCAATGGAGTCGTTGGAGGAGTTGTAGGAGAAGACGTTCGTGAAGATGCTGGTCAAATCCATCTCCTCGATGTCATTCTGGCCCGATGAACTCTTGTCGTAGGTATCCAGACTAATTGGTGACGGCTCATCGTAGTTAGCCAGCAATTTCGATAGCTCCTCGTTTATCTGCTTGTCGATCAAGGCTTCTCTTGTGTTCAAGTAATCACCTGCTATTATCTCGTCTACATCTAGGTGATTGATCTCCTCGCTATCATCAATTATCGAGAGTTTTGAGAGCTCATCGTGCATCTTAGCGTCGAACTCGGAGCCATTTGTTGCCTTCATCTGGTCGAAATCCTTCAAGTTTATCCTGGCTAACTCCTCGTTGATCTCGTGTTCGTTGAGTCCCATCTTTTCTAGAATCGGGCTGAAGATCTTTGAGATCTCCTCGTTTATCGGACTTATCGTGATTTCTTTCGATATTTCCTCGAGATCTGGGAGACGCTTCTTAGCTTGGCACGTCAGGATCTTGTGGAGAATAGCTGAGTTCTCCTGGATTATCTTCAGGGCTCTGTCGCTGCTGCTGCGACGGCCATTTTCTCCTCTCTTACGGGGCTTGACCTTCGTCCAAACACCAAGCTTCGACTCTCTGTCGTCATCGGGCTCACCAGTCTCTTTTCTCTTTGTGTAGTTCTTTAGAATACTGTCACTACCTTCGTCCATTTGGATCCTAGGCTCCACAACGTACGTCTTTCTAACTTCATTCGATACTGTTATCCCTGGCAGGTCCAATCTAGCCGGGGAAAATCCACTCGCTGAGTCGCTGAACGTGTCCTGTCGTCTTGCCTCAAGACTCTTCAGATCTTCCCAGTCGTAACCAGTCTTTCTCGTCATGTTTGTGTCGCCCGTGACACTACTCTCTAAGGCTGTTGCCTCCATGTGTCGCAAGTCATCTAGGATATCACTCGAACGCTTCTTCGTGCCGATGAAGTCCTCCGTCGAGGTCGACAACTTCATCTCTGTAAATTTCTTCTCCAAGACACTACAGCTGCGCTCAAACTTCGTTGGGGTTCTTTTCTGCGAAGGAAGATCCTCCAAATTGTCCCTGGATAACTTCAGGGTCATGTATTTGTCCCGTGGGAGGGGGGAGACTGTATCGTTCTCCAGTAAACGTTCCTCCAACTCCTCGTTTTTGAGCTTCTTTTCGTACTTATCGAGCTTTGAGTCTTTACTCGAGTCTCGCTGGTGGACTCCGATAATTGTTGACGGAGTTCTTTCGGACTTTGATGAGAGAGTTAGGGCTAGTTCTGCCTCGAAGGGTCTACCGGAGTCGTAGTCGTCGATTTTTTTAGGGATCTTTGGGTCTGGAGCCTTGGAAAACCTTGAGGACTCTTCTAGTTTGTAGGTTAAGGGCTCCACAGCGTCGGTCTTCGTTGGGTTCTTTGGCGATGTTGCCTTCTGTTCTGGAGAGGAGATCGGGTAGAACGGGGATGTTACCTGGAGATCCACCGGAGTTTCTGAGAGATTCTCTGAGTTCTTGTAGGCGGACGTGTATTTTATTGAGTTGGCACTTGTTGACGAGTGAAGCTCAGAGCTGAGCGACGATAATTCCGTGGATTTTATGGGTCCGGGACAGTAGGACTCACTCGAGCTGCTGACAACAATCTTAGTCGGACTTATTTCTGACTTCCTCAGCGAGTCGAGGCTGATCGGGGTCGAGGGGCTCACGTTATCCAAGGAGCATCTTGACTCCATCTTCGATCGTGAGGGGCCGATATCGGAGTCGATGGATTTCATCGTTAGTGTCTTGTCGTCTGAGCTCGCTGACGAGTGGGACTTGTCACTCCTGAGGTTGCAGGAATCTGCTCTGACTGGGGTTCTGGGGCTTGTAGTTAGACTCGAGACCTTTGAGTCCGGACCCATCGTCTCGCCAGAGCTGAAGGACTTCGCACTCTCCGGGGTCTTCGGGCTCCTCTTCATGTCTTCGTAGGGCTTTAGACTCTGGGGGTAATCGAGACTCAAATGAGACACTCTAGATTGGATGATTGCGGGGATCTTCGGCTCTTCAATCATCGACGTCACACAGGTCGGCGTTGTCACCCCTAATTTACTCAGCTTCTGGTCGACAGTCATCGGGGATATCGGCAAGTGCCCTATAACGTAACCCCTCGCGTAATAGTTCATGTCAACAGGATTATCCTCAGGTGAGGCAACTTTACCCAACAACTTTTTCTCAATCTCCCCAGACAAATCCAGCGATTTCGAGAGGTACTTGATGTCTAGATCGCTTCTGAATTTTCCATCGACCGAACTATCTTTCTTTTGGGCACTTGGTGTTGGCTCGACAGCCCTAAGCACATCATCACCGAGAGTACTGTACTTCTCATGTAATTTCACTACTCTGTCTAATTTGCTCTCATTACTAGGTATAAAATCGTCACTATCTACTGGCACTGAGGTAACATCCTTCGCCCCGATCTCCCTATCGAAGCTCCCGTTATCGTCGTCCAATTTATTCTCTCTTCTATCAAAACTCGTCGATACAGGTAGAGCAATGGAATTATTGTCATCGCCAGCTGATAACCTTCTTATTTGATCGGTTATCGTCGCGATTGATGCGGTAGTTTCTACGTCCACTGGGTCCACACCTCTGTTTGGATCGACTGACCCATCTCTGATCATCTCGTGGATGCTGCGAGTGGGAGAGGAGCTTGCTCGTGGACTTCTTTCGTCGTCTGTTGCCATTATATAACAGTCGGATGTTGACGTCGGCTCTTCGCTGTCACTCAGACGATCGGGATCGTCGCATAGCTCGGTTGATGTACTATCACTGTCACTGTCTGCACTACTGCGTCTCGACGATCTGAGACTGACGGACATACCCTCGGGGGATTGTACCAGATCTGTGTCAACATCATCTGTCACTGAAAAATAGAAGGAAAATCGATCAGATGAGTGGTCTTAAAGGCGGAATAAAATTGTATCAGGAAAATGAATAAATGGATGAATTATTATAAATAAATAATTTGTCCGGACTATAAAATAGTTCCTGTGAAAATAGAGGATAATAATGTCGAGTCTTGTTAAATTGTGAACGACAATTATCAACATTATCATTAACAAAAAACTATTTATTCGTCGAATGAGTTATGTCTTAGAATGATTATTTTGTTGATGAGAAAAAATACGTGGGGTTGATGAGGAGAAAGAAACATTCAGCATTATGGCACTTCACGGTTAATCAGCAAATCCACGATTTATAATTATTTTATAATGAAGAAAATAATACAAAGTTATCGGATGGTGGAATGAACCGAAATTATCTTCCTTTTTTCACGACTTTGTTCCGATTATTGAGGGTTGTAATGGCACTGAATGGCACTTTGGATTAATCATTCAATGCTTCGATCGTCGGAGGAGATATTTAAAGGATAATTGAGGATGGAAATGGCAGATTGGGGTTGGGAAATGGCAGATTTAATTTTTTCATTCAAACAACTGCTCTTACGTCACAGAGAAGAGAAAACAGGTGGTGTTGGTGGTGTGAATGCAATCGCGAGGGTTCAACTGGGGCGGCTGTTGACCCCGCCACGCCTGCGTCAATACTCAGTACTTGTTGGTATTGGGAGGCTTTTTTCGCGGGTTTCGGGGTATTTTATTGGGCGATGGTTACTGAGAGAGGTTTTACCGACGTCGGGTACAAGCTCCGGGGGTTAGAGGGTGGAGCAGCGTCGGCGGGGGTCGATAATAGGTCGAGGGGTGGTAAGCAAGCGTGAAATGATTCAATACACTGAGAGAAAAATTTCGTAATATGTAGACCATATTTACTTGACAGAGGTAAATCATTTTCAATGGCTTAGATCTCAGGATGTTTGCGCTTCACGGAATTCGAATTTATCATTTATCATTTATCACTATCGTTTCACGTTACATCTTGAATATATTACATATCGAAATATTGGAAGTGCATAAAAAATCATGAAGACTGTAAAGACTTGAAGATTGACGATTCTTCTACGGGATTTGAGTGAGTTCGTTTGTGACAAAATCATTTTTGAGTACAAGAATATTTTTATACGTGAAGTTTAGACTTATCTCAAGGAGGGGGACGGAGGAAACCGCTATCATATGGGGCATTTTTAAATGCCGGCGATCTTCGCAAGAAATCGCGAAGTTCACACTTCGCGTTAAATCGCGATGTTATAACATCATTATGAAAAGTGCTAGTTAAGTTGAAATTGAAGTTTAGACTTGTCTGAAGGAGGGGGGCGGAGGAAACCACAATCGTATGGGGGATTTTTGAATGCCGCTGATGTCCGCGAGAAATCGCGAAGTTTAAACTTCGGGTCAAACACCGAATTTTTTTTTTCTAAAAAATGCACTTTAAGACGAATTTTATGGGAATTCCGAAAAAAATATTAAAAATAGAAAAAAAGTCGTCATTTTTCTGAAACATCGTACTTGGGAAAAAAAATAATAATAGTCCAAGTGGATTGAATTTATTTGGGTGAGAAAATTCGATAAAAAATGTAAGAGAAGACGAATGAAAAAGTTTTTTTAGAGGAAAGAAATTGAATATTTACCAGCAGGTTCGTTCTTAGTTTCCCTTAGCTTCTTCGTATCCTTCCAGTGCAAGGTCACCCCCTGTTTATCCTTTCGTATTTGATTTCTCGGACTTCTTAATGGCGCAAATCTTGATTTCGGGGGTATTGCACCCGGGGGCGGTCCCAACTGACGGGTTTTCGCACTCACTAGAGCGCTTTTTCCCACGAGAAGGTGATTCATTGCTTGGGATGTGGCTGGAGTCACCATCGACTGTCTCGCGCAGGCAGCTAGAATAATATTCGATATTAAAACAATTTTTCTTCGGGTAAAAATGGCGAGAGGATTGAATTAATTCTGAGGCGTAGTGCGCGGTTAATTCTTGTAACTTCAATGGATCGATTTTACCGGATAAAATGATGTGAGCTTGTCTCTGTCTCTCTCTCAGCTTGGCATACTGATGTTTCAATGTACTGATGTCAAGTGCTAATCTGTCTTTATCCGCCCCTTGATTGATTGCCTGCAGTGTTCCTGCTGCTATTGAGGAGCCTGGAAGTATTTCATTTCGTGATAGAGTCAATTTGCTGGGTAATTAGTTCACGGAGAGACAAATCTATTTTCTGAAGAGTGAGAATTTTTGAAGAGAAGATTTTCATTTTTACATCCATAAAACATCATTAATGAAATATTAATCCACTTCAAATTTCTTAGCAGTATTTCCAAATAAATTTAAAAACTTCAAATGGTAGATTTCCTTTGACATTATTAAAATATATTTATTCCTCTCGAAATCGAAAATATTAATAAAATCAATAATTTCACGAATTGTTAATTTTGGTAAAAATAACAATTCCATTTTGTAAGTCTCCGTTTGAATTTGTCCGTGAGAAAGGAGAAAATACAGCGAAGAAAACCTAGAAAATTGACACTGATAAATTTCCATAGGAGAAATCGCAATTCTTTCTAACAAAAGCATGGGCAATATCTCGAAGGAATGGAGAAACTAAGGCGGTTTTCATGAGTACAATTGTCCTGCGTCGAATTTTCATGAAGTCCACCTAACAAAGAAAAGAGAATTGAATCTACAGAATCAATGAAACATGAATAAACGGATCATAATTATCCAAATCATTTAGGTCAGAGGAAAACAGAATAATTCTACTTTCTTAATATGACGTTTACTAAGCGTTTCTTCGAACAAAATTGATTATCATTAATAGCTAGAATTAGGAGATTATCTCACATTTTTTACGTTAGGGACAAGAGAATCTGAATGCAATATAGTGGAAATGACGATCGATGTATTCACTTGGAACAAAAAATATTAAAATCCAAATATAAAATTTCTGATATGATTGGAAAGAAACTGCGACTCAATATTCCAAATTAAGTTTTAATTTTTAATTTGGTGCTGAAAACTCGAGATGACAATATTCTAAGTACGGAATTATTTTGATGAGATGAACCACAGATTAATTGAATTACCGCGTGAGCTGACTAAAAATTGATAACAGTGCACGGAGAGAAATATTCAAAACGTAAAACGTTTCGAAACGTAATCTGAGAGCGAAGTAAAATTCAATAACAAGTGTCAATCGTCACGTAAATTCTACGATCTGTTCCGTAAAAATTACTCATCCGTCCGACGCCTCACGGCTAGCCATGAGTCACCGTGAGGGGGAGATTTTGACAACACGCTACGTAATTTTTCCGGAACTTTTCGTAAAAATTCCTAAACATCCAAGAATTCTCATGTTCTGAGGCATAATAAGTCTTGAAGTTTCTGTTAGATTTTACAACTTCCAGAAAAATTACGTGACTTTTTCGTATTTTTTCGGTGACAGACCCGAAAATTTACTGAACGTTTCAGATTTATTCTCTTATATTCCTATAGAAATCCACTGAAAACGATTCTCGCTTGCGGATTACGTGAAATGTTCCGTAATTTTTCTTGAACATTTCCCTCCGTGTGTGAACACACAATTTTACCAGAGTATCAACATACATTGAATTCCAGACATTCACACTTTGAAGGGTGTTCGAGAACGAACTGAATCTTAATGTAATGTAATGTATGTAATATGAAAATTTAACAGCTGTCATATTACTTTTTGCAATGAGAATGATTATAAACAATGAATCGACAAAAGAAATAGCGAATCTAACAGGAAAAGGGTACAATGAAAGTACGCTGCTGGAAACAAAATGAGATTCATTCATTTCTTCCTATGGAATATATATTTTTCTGTACTGCTTCTCACGATTTCTCGTCTGGGAATTGGTATTACATACTTCCCAAACTCGAAAACTTGAAAATCACTACAGAAAAATATTGTTCCTGGGCTGTTGCGATGGGGTTTTTTTACTCGTGTGGCGTTGGCCTCCGAGCCGTAGGCGAGGCAACAGGCCTCGGAAAAATACTATTTTCAAATCGGTGAAAAACAAATAGAATACTCGGTAGATTTCCAATAGAATTTCCTGTCCAATGTGCTAGATTCCGCTACTGTATTTTCCCCACGCGCAGAAGAATTGGAAGTTTATTAGATCTCCAATCGCTCTTCAATTTTCTCCCCAATAGTTTTCCCCATCCCCTTCACAAATGAAATTTCCCTCTCAGTTCGGTTTAATGTCCTTGCAACCTTTCTTGTAACCTTTCTTAAGCCTGTGATGAACGCCATACATAGCAGCTGCCGCAGCCAGTTTCTCCTCCTCCTCGGTATCAGTGTCCTCATCGTCACTGAGACGTCTCGCCCAAGGGGTTATATTGTACCTGTGTTTTTCCCTGAGATCTGTCACCCCAGCCAGGGGTCCCATATTGACAATGGTCTTTATCAAATTATTCATGTCAGTGAATTCGAGCATTTCTCTCGTCAAAACCCCCATAATGCTGTAGAATTCGTCGGCGGATGTCACTGTCATAATTCGACTGAAATTTCAGGGATAATAGAATTTATCAGAAAAGCCTCGTTGATTAATTCAATGGATACTTACTCTGATATTCCCTCCCAGATGGCAAGGGCTGTTCTTAGAAGGACCTCGTCACCCTCGAGAAATATTAAATCCCAGACTCGCAGGACCACGTCCTGGGGGAGACAGTGGCAGAAGAGGGTGAGGAACCATTGCATTGTGAATACGTTTGTCAGGGGTGGCTCGTAACTGCTGCCTGCATTACGAAATAAACCGTTATATTTTCAAAAACACGTCGAGACCTTCTAAAGATCTCCGCGAATGATATGACAGCGACGAAGAATTTTCCGAAGAATTTACCGAGAGCAATTTATTTCCCTCTGCCGAAAAATAATGTTTCCCTGAAGAGGCCTTTTGTCGTGTCGAAACAATTTACTGGACAAAAAAGAAAGTTTCCACCAAAACATGATAATTTTCGTTGTAGTAATTGGTTTCGTGAGGCATTTGTCTTTCGGGTAAATACATTCGTTCTGCAGAGAGTTATATGAGGCTGCGGTTTTATCAAGTGAATGTTATTGAGTAGTGTAAATCGTTGATCAATAAAAACTTATAATTTCCATGGAACAAATGATAATTTCAAGAGGAAACTACAATTTTTTTGCTAGAACTGTGTTATTGGCAAAACTATTCAATTATTCAATTATTTATTTCCTTGATGTTATAAAAGTATTTCTTCGTTTTACATCAGCATCAGCCTTTCTTTCGCGGTTGACAAAACTAAATAATAATAATTTATTCAGTATGTATACCCTCTCGGGCTTTTACATTTTGTTCCCCCCTCGATTTCCGTTTAATTACATTGTTTGAGTACAAAAGCAGTAAAAGTACAAAAGTTTTATAGTTTTATAACCTTACGTTAACATTTCTGATAAACAAACATGAGAGACAAACATGAGAGCTACATAAACAACAAAACTAAATAATTTCAATGGGAATTTTTTTTTGGGAAAAAAATATTCGTTCCTCGTCAATGCATTCTTTCTACGGTATAAACCTATGGAGTTCTCAGATCAAATGATTGTCGTACAATAGATTATATTTTTTCCTGCCAACAGCTCGACTTCTTCGAGGAATATTTCGGATCATCACGACAACAATTTAATTTTTGTGAAAGGCATGCAATTTCCTTCTATCAAGTTGGTTAATTTCCCTCACATTAATTCCCACTCTATTCAATATTCTCACGTGGAACATATAGTTTTTCGACAGAGCTAATTTTTTAGAATGAATTTTTTAGAATAAAGAATGAATATTAATCAAAATTATAACAATTTAAATAAATCTGTTTTTAATTTTTCCAATTAATTGAAAATCCGGTGCAATTTGGAATTAAAAATTCATGTTTTGATTGACAATTCGTGTTGGTTGAAGAATTTTCGTCTTCCTGCTGCTCGAAAATGATAAATTTCATGATTTTTTCCCCTCAATCGAATTTAATATCGTCAGCTATGCTTATACACACCACTTTGGCTATACGACGACGATATTCTTCTTTTTCTAAAAATCACATATCTACTATCCACAAAATTCCAATTCTTTTCCTAACAATAAACGTTGATTAAATCGTCAATGAAGGATCCGTACTGTTATAATGCCCCCTGACCTTCAACTAAACTCACCAATAAAGGGATGAACACGATCATCAATTTCCAATAACTTTCTCTCCAAAATAACGAAAAAGAAGTTCACCTGTTGCTTTATCCTTAGCATCGCACTGCAGAGCCTCCAGATGTTTCGACAACTTGGGCAATCTCATTCTCAGTAAATCCCTGAAAACTGCCATGTCAATGGACAGACCCCTGAGATTATCTGCGAAATAGCCCTCAGGTAGGACACCCTCGATGAGATAAATCATGACCTTGACCGCTGATGATTCCGCTCGATCTGTGACCTGAAGTACAAGGGCAGCGAGTACATTGAGTCCCTGGCAGTAGCCAACGGACTTGTTCCATCTGGCAAAACCCAGCAAAACACGGCGCAATACCGCCTGGTTGTCCCGGCCGGCTGCACCGCAAAACAGACTGCAGCCAGTTCTGTGGAGATCCTGGAGTAGGGGAGAGCAACAATGAAGATGGTAATTGGGTCATGTGCAAACACACGTGTGGCTCAGTGAATGGTAAATGATGGGTTTGTTTTCATTTTCTTCGAGTTCTTTTCATTCTCAGTTGACCGAGTTGTTAGGGGCAGACTGTGTTCATAACTCGTGACCGAGTCGAGAGGTGAAGGGGAATAAGTCAATATCTCGGGGGATATTTGCGTGGAGAGGGAGCATCAATCATTGGGTTGATGAGTTCTGGTGATTTTTCTTCAATATCAAGCGCTGGGGTTTCCTTTTAATATGCAGCGAGGGGTAGACATGCAATCGTCGATAACGACTTCTGCGAGAAAATTTTAGTTTGGAGGAATAATTCAGTATGTTGAAAACTCGTTATTACAATATTTTCACGAATGTAAGGTGTGGGAACTAAAAATTTGAGGGAATGTGGGGAAGTTTTTATCGAGTTATAATCCCACTGAAATTTAGGGGATTTAATTTTTGCCTGAAAATTAATAGAAATCGGAAAATTCAGGTGAATGTATTCTTCGATTTTCAATTGAGGATATACAAGTACTTTGGGTATTTTTTCTCCAGTGAAATGCATCTCCACGTTTGCAGTCGAACATCAGAGCTTTCATTTGAGCCCCATTTGACCCTGAGTTTCCGGACATTTTACTATGATTTTGATATTTACACTTTGCAGATGTAAATTTGAACCTCGATATGGAACCGTTAGAAAACATTTTTAAAATGTGAAGAAAAAAATTAGAAAGTTTACTGAAAGATTGGCGAAATAATTAAAAAATTGCAATTCAAAAAATTACGAACATTTTCCATAAATAATTTATACATAACGAATGTTTAAAAAATAATAATTCTGCGGAAAATGTAATTTTGATGACGCTGAATGTTCATGATTTTTTTTCAAATTTTTCTTACGCAATTTAATTGACAAATTTGATAATTGAAATGGTTGAATCTATACTGTGGTCTGTACCAAACTGTAAAGGACTTATTTGAACATTTCCACAAATCCGTTTTTGTCCGAATCATCAAATATAACGAAATATAAGATGTAAAAATTATAACAATTCGATTGAATTTTTTCAAAGTTTAGTTGAGTTAAAAATTCGACTGAAATTTCAAGGAATTTAAATATTGAAAATTCATAATTTTATGAAAAAATCGATTGAAACGGTAAATTTAAATTCCATGATTCCATGAACATTTATAGAAATTCATAGAAATTAACAGAAAAATTCTGTGGCTTCTCAATTAACTAAGCATTCTCGTTAATTGGAAATTCTCTTCTCTTCGCCGCTTAAAAATTTGGATTTCCATTCACTTTTCAGTGGAATTTAAAATTTCATGATATTTTGAACCTAATGTCGTTGTCCTAAAAATTACCACTCCTAAAATTCCCATGATCTTTCAATTTTTTTCATACAGTGTAACTTCATCAATTAGATTTTACGTTCCACGTTCCCATTACTCGTCTTTTGACACATCTCCTTAAAAATTGAACATTTGCTCTTCAGATCATTTGTCAACGAATTACCACACTTTTTGGTGTTGATTTTGCACCTTTCAACATGATTTCCCTCTTCAGCCATAATAAAGCAATAATTCAAACATAATTTTTTAAATCATAGCATTTTAAACAAAATGTTGTTAAATACCTTTCCATTTCCTCATGAAATATCCACATAAATCAGGACAGTAAGTACGTAATCACCTTCATCATGAATAATTTAACGAAAAACTGTGAGAAAAAATTTTTTCCTGCATAAATACATAATGAACAAACTTATTATTTTTCCCCACTTCTCTCCGTAATTACTTCATAATTAAAATATTATACACAGTAAGACTGATGATGAACAAGTTATTGATTTACACTGAACGCATAAAAACCCCTCCGGCGGTTCGTAGAAAATATGAAACTCTCCAAACATGAGAGCAAACGAGTAAATATCCTCACGAGATAAAATGGAAAATTCTGCTCTGTTCTGTTTATATTTGACATCTCCTCGTTTAGTTTCCCCCTCGATACTTTATTCCCCATCGCCGCTGGTTCGCACCTCACTTTATCCCGCAAAACATACCCCTGGGCTTTCAAATGGCACCGGGCCACCCGTTGGGCCTTTAAATCATCCCACGTTTCTCGATAAGTGAATGAGGACAGGTTGGGTATGGATGGAGCTGAATAGACGCGGGTGGAATATCAAGCGCTGAATTAATAGTCTTGGGGAGGATTGTTTGATGTCTTGTAACTAGTTAGAGATTTCGCACAGTTGCAATCATCTGAGGATTACGGAATCTCGAGAAATATCTAGTTCAATGAGTTATCCGAGTTTATTCATTACTTTTATTGGAACGAAAATTGCAGATTATTCCGAAAATATCTCCGGGACTAATGGGGTTAGATCAAACTTTCAGAAGATTTTCTGTAAAAAAATCATGCCGTTGTTAAAGAAATTTGACTGAATTTTCCGGAAAAAGTCAATGGAATTTCAAGTTTCTCGGAAAAATCAAGTATGATAATACGTATTATATTTTCGACACTATAAAAACAAGTGTCGATATAAAAAACAACTTCCCGAAACGTTCTGCTCCTAGAAATGGGAGAATAATCCTAAAAATTCTCCTCAATTTCACCAATGAATTCCATGTTTTTGTAATTCATTAATTGAACTTCTCACGAGACACCTAATCCCCTCGAAATGAATCCAGATATTGAACTGACATACTGAGGGCCTCCCGAGTGCTTCTGAGGGTCGGCTTCTGTTGAGAAGGGTCCTCGTAATACCCCAAATCTTACCTTCACAATCTGTATGCCGAGCTCCTCATCATCTGGATTACTCCACTCGTTGAAACACAACTTCTCCGCCTGCTTCCAGTCCACCCCGCGCTGCTCGAGGTGGCGTTCTGCCAACGTCAGCCACAACTGTCAAAATTCCCCAGCATTAATCACAATTCTCAGAGCTCCAGGAAGAGAAGCATTTCCCCACCCATTTGTAATAATTTTTAACAGCTTTATTTTCTCTTCGAGCTTTTTTCAGGAGCCTTGTGGTTGTTTCTCATGATTTATTATGACACAACTCACCCTCTTGCGAAACTCAGGCGGTATTCCCTCGGGCAGTCTTGCTACCATTTTCATAGCGTCCAACCATTGTGTAAATCCACTCTCACCTGGCTGGGGAGTCAGACTGAAACGCATTCTTGTGTCTTCGCCTGTTGAGAGAGATGGGGAAATTAATTTTCTTGGAAATTGGTTCCTTTTCTTTTAGATTGTGGAAACAATGCCCCGGGGATTATTATCAAATTATTGTTGATGGGTGTTTGGGAACGGCAGTGGAAAATACAAATTTATTTGACGACGGATTCTTTGTGAGGATTCCTGAGGAAATGGGAGAAAATGAAATCAAGTATAATTAATGACCAAAATATAAAAACAATTGACGAAAATAAAAACTGGTCATCCTATTTAACGATTTTACTACTGAATCCTTTCCATCAAAGTGTTTTGATTCATAATTAACTATATTTGTCCGACGCATTGTTCAGGTGAGTTCAAGAACGGCCAAATACGTATTTATAACTGGTCTCCCTATTTAACCACTTTGCTACTGACTCCTCCTGAACAGCAGTGGAATATGAAAATTTTTTTTGCGACGGATTCTTTGTGAGGATTTCTGAGGGAACGAGAAAAAATGAAATGAAGGATAATTAATTGGCGAGGTATAAAAACAATTGATGAAAATAAAAACTGGTCTCCCTATTTAACGATTTTACTACTGAATCCTTTCCATCAAAGTGTTTTGATTCATAATTAAATATATTTGTTCGACGCATTGTTCAGGTGAGTTCAAGAACGGCCAAAAACGTATTTATAACTGGTCTCCCTATTTAACCACATTGCTACTGACTCCTCCTGAACAGCAGTGGAATATGAAATTTTTTTTTGCGACGGATTCTTTGTGAGGATTTCTGAGGGAACGAGAAAAAATGAAATGAAGGATAATTAATTGGCGAGGTATAAAAACAATTGATGAAAATAAAAACTGGTCTCCCTATTTAACGATTTTACTACTGAATCCTTTCCATCAAAGTGTTTTGATTCATAATTAACTATATTTGTTCGACGCATTGTTCAGGTGAGTTCAAGAACGGCCAAAAACGTATTTATAACTGGTCTCCCTATTTAACCACTTTGCTACTGACTCCTCCTGAACAGCAGTGGAATATGAAAATTTTTTTTGTTTCGGATTCTTTGTGAGGATTTCTGAGGGAACGAGAAAAAATGAAATGAAGGATAATTAATTGGCGAGGTATAAAAACAATTGATGAGAATAAAAACTGGTCTCCCTATTTCACGACTTTACTACTGAATCCTTTCCGTGAAAATGTTTTGATTCATAATTAACTATATTTGTCCGACGCATTGTTCAGGTGAGTTCAAGAACGGCCAAAAACGTATTAATTGGTCTCCCTATTGAACAACTTTGCTACTGACTCCTCCTGAACAGCAGTGGAATATGAAAATTTTTTTTGCGACGGATTCTTTGTGAGGATTTATGAGGGAACGAGAAAAAATGAAATGAAGGATAATTAATTTGCGAGGTATAAAAACAATTGATGAAAATAAAAACTGGTCTCCCTATTTAACGACTTAACTACTGAATCCTTTCCGTCGAAATGTTTGGATTTATAATTAAATATATTTGGTCAACGCATTGTTTTAGGCGAGTCAAAAAATCTCCAAATACCGATTTAGAACTGGTCTCCCTATTTAACCACTTTACTACTGAATCCTTCGCGTCAAAATGAAACGCACTCTTGTATCTTTGCTGAGAGAGATGGGGAAATTAATTCCCTTTGAAATTGGTTTTTTCTCTTTTGCGTTGCGGAAATAATGCACCGGGGATTTTTATCGAATTATTGTTGATGGGTGTTTATGAACACCAGCAGAAAATGAAAATTTATTTGGTAACGGATTCTCTCTGAAGATTCCTGAGGAAATAAGGCAAAGTGAAATCAACTATGATTAATCAGCGAGATATAAAAACAATTGATGAAAATAAAAACTGGACTCCCTATTTAACCCTTTTACTACTGAATCCATTCCGGCAAAACATTTTTATTTATAATTAAATATATTTGTTCAACGCATTGTTTGAGGTTTGTCCAAGAATGGCCAAATACCTATTTAGGACTGGTCTCCCTATTTAACCATTTTACTACTGAATTCTTCGTGCGGGATGAAACGCATTCTTGTAACTTCGTCTGTTTAGAGAGATGGAGAAATAAATTCCCTTCGAAATTGGTTTCTTTTCTTTTGCGTTGCGGAAATAATGCACCGGGGATTTTTATCGAATTATTGTTGATGCGTGTTTGTAAACACCAGCAGAAAATGAAAATTTATTTGGTAACGGATTCTTTCTGAAGATTCCTGAGGAAATAAGGCAAAGTGAAATCAACTATGATTAATCAGCGAGATATAAAAACAATTGATGAAAATAAAAACTGGACTCCCCATTTAACCCTTTACTACTGAATCCATTCCGGCAAAACATTTTTGTTTATAATTAAATATATTTATTCAACGCATTGTTTGAGGTGAGTCCAAAAACCAAACCAAATACCAAATTAAGATGAGTCTCCCTATTTAACCACTTTACTACTGAATCCTTCGCGTCAAAGTACTTTAATAGTTAATTAACGATTTTTATTCAATACATTGTTTGAGGCGGGTCGAAAAACGCTTAAATACCCATTTCTCACGTTTAAATGTTTTATTTCAATATTGAATGGAATGGGGTAAAGTGGACACTCATTATATTTGTTTTAATGTTCATAACATATTTTTAATTCGGGGACAAATTGATCCAAAACCAGAAAACTTTTTATCTCTGTTCCCCCTCTATTTGTTTACTCTCAACCTCAAGAAGAACAAACAATTGGAAGCACTGAGGATGAATTTATATTCCCCGCACTCGTCCCTTTCCGGAGAATGTGCGGAGGAAACGTGAGCAAATAGGCCGAGAGAAGCTTGGCATGAGGTTAACACAGCTATTTGTCTCAAAGTGTAAGCTCCATGTACACTTTGTGGAGTCCCTGAACGCTGACCGTCTCTCACAATTGGTTGGTTTAACTGGCGCAGCGGGTTCAATAGCTGAGTTAAAAATTCCATTCCTCGAATGAAAATGCTCCGCGAGTCCCAGGGAGTTCGAACATCAAAGAGATTTCAACGGGGAATAACAATATTGGAACTAAAGTGTGTAAAGTGAAGGAGAGACACTCAAGAATTTATTAGTACTTCGAATTGAGTTGACTTCACTCGATAAATTAACTGTGTCGGAAAGAACCGTAAAATGAATCGAGTTCATTTGGTGAGACGACTGTCGTAAAGTTTTCTGCAAAGCAGTCACTCTTAGTGGTCGATAAATCGTAACAATTTATTGAATCAGTGGAGAGGACAGGTTGGCTGACGGGGAGGTTTATAGAATGATTTAAATCAAATTGGATAAAAAATTACATTCTTAACAATTACTGAATTTTTTTCCAATATTAAATAAGTGGCGATTCGTAATAACAGGACTAAATTTCACATTGACATTTCATCACATCACATCAATTCATCACATGGAAATTCATCACAACAAACAATTCATCACATGGAAATTCAACACAGGACCGATTGAACATTAGTTTCGTTTAACGCTTCGATATTTATTTTATAAATTCAACACAGTACCGATTGAGCACTAATTTTGTTTAACCCTTCGATATTTATTGTAAAGTAGCTGCTGTTTACTGGAGGACAGTTGCTCTCTCTTGTTTTCACACTAATATTCTTGATTATCTGCGTGGAATCGCCCACAATATCAAATTGTAAGGTATTGTTGTATTCTGTGGTTTCGATAAACCAATTAGTGATGATGATTAGGTTGATGATGTTATTAATGGAAATGAATTAATTTCATAATGTAGTGTCTTATAAATTGGTTTAAATAAATTTGATGAGATGATAAAATATTTTGATATCGTGCGTTTTTATTTATTCGTGTTGAATTTGTTTTGTGATGAATTTGTTTTGTGTTGAATTTGTTTTGTGATGAATTGTTTTGTGATGATTTTCTTTTGTGATGAATTGTTGTGTGATGAATCGTCGTGATGAAATGTTTTTGTGACGATTAGTCATGGAACCGGCGAATTGCTTATTCTTATAAAGCATAGATATTGTTGTTAATAAATTAGCAATGTGCTTGGAAATGGTCATTTTAAAAATAATTTACTTCTATCATATATCCTTTATCGTTTCATATCATTTTGATTGATTTATTTTTCGTCGTTAACCAATTGTGGGGAATTTCTTATGAAATTTCTTGTACAATTCAAATGAAAGAATGATGATATTTATATTATCTTCAAGCTTCGATGAAATGATGTTAGAAGAACTTTTTTTTGCACATAATTGAATGAATCTGAAACGTCATATTTGAAGAAAAGGTTGGGAAATTCGCTTTTTTTTTATTAATACGCATTTTAAACCTTACAGTATATTCTGCAGGGAAAATTCACTTTCAGGGAAATTTTAGAAAAATTCAAAATATGCAAAAATCCGCATTCAAATGAAAACAACGAGATGGGGAATAATCTAAAAAATCCAAAACTTCAATTTGAAAGATTATAAAGCTTCCATTTGAACGCAAAAAATCAATTTTCGGGAAATGGATAAACATCCTTAACAAAATTATTTTAAATACATGAAATCAAGAATTCACTCATTCCAAATAAATCCTCCATTAGAATAAAATAAACAATGATTAAATGCTATGAATTGATTCTCTTCGCCGTCTAAACAATGACATAATTTCTAACAAATCAAGTCTTTCTCTGGATCAAGAAAACATTTATTTGTATTCAAAAATTATTTATTTGAAGTCAATGAAAACGCAAATAAAAATGAATTTTGAGTTTGAATAAAAGCTTTAGGATGAGCTATTTGTATGAAAGTCATGCATTCAATTCACATAAAACATTCCTCTGGGTGCAATGATCATACAACATTTCTGTTATAATAATACCAATAAATAAATAGAGAAGACGTATCAAGTATCAAGACCATTTCGACTTCAAACACGTGTGAAACATTGTAAGAAGGTCCTTAGCTTGGTTACAACTCACCAAGAGAGAATATAAACTACCCCATTTCTGAATCCCACTCATTCTTTCGTGCTCATTGTTCCCCTACTATGTTCAGGTGGACTTACGTCACCCCTGAGATTTTCTGTATAAATCCCACGTATTATCATCATGCCCATGAAATCTACGCACTCTATTTTCAGAAAGTTCTATCTCTGGATTCATTCCGCTATCAATATGCACATAAATTTTCCCGCTTGGTGGAGGAAATAAATAATCAAAAAATCGTTTTGTCAATCATGAATATTTAAAAAAACGCGGGGGAGGCGTTTGTGACGTTTAATTCAGCGCCCGAGAGGTGAAATGTAAAAATTGAAACAATCATATTTTCATTATTTTTGGAATATCTGAACTGGAAGGTTTAGATGAAAATTTTAGGGGAACTTTTTGCAGCAAATTTGAATTTATCCCATCCGAAGTGATTTCAGAAAATACAATATTTTAATAAGAAAGATGACGTGTCATGTACACTGAGAGAAAAAAATATTATCTGAAACAAGTCTTGTTTAAACCAAAAAAATCGCTCGTTCAAACTTACCGAATAAATAAAATCTAGTGCTGATCATTTGCAGATTTTCCCGAGATGAAAAATTTTTGTCGCAAAACTATATTCAGTAGTTCTGAAAAATTTGTATCCTCGGAATTGATGAATTTTATTCAAACAAATTAATGAATTGATTCGAATAGCTTGTAATAAAGCACTATTCAATTTTATCTTCATTCGCGGTTTTATTCACACAAAATGGATAATTTTTCACATAAACACACGTTCAATTGATCCAAATGAAGAGCTTATTAGTTAAAAGCAAATACTTGTTTAGCCAGCGAAGAGGACAAGCCCAAATGAATCATCTATTTGATATAATTAACGCATTCTCATTGAGATGAATAACATAAACTCAAATAAAATTCCCAGGACTGAACAAGATAAATGAACAAGACTCCGCAACTCAACTCATTTCCTCCCACCCCTCCCGGCCCAATCCCCCCTCATGAAAAACCAACCTTCGTCGTCCTCGTCCTCCTGGTACTTAGCAGCGTTCGCGGCTCCAGACGCGAGGCTCTTGAGTGAGTTAAAAAATCCGCTCATTCTCCAAATGAAACATCCACTCCTTTCTTCACCATCCCCCCTCAATATTCACCTTTAAACGAACCGCGAAACCCCTCCCACCATCAGAAATTCCCTCCCACTCACCCCCGGGAACCCCCCATCAGCCCTCCCCCTCATTGTCTCACACAATACCAATAATTCTTGAACAACTTCTTGTCCCACCGAAACTCCTTGAGCCACATTGCTTCACAATTCTTTCGTCCAATCAGCGAATGTCGACCCAGCACCCTTGACCTTCATACTAATCCCTTCATCGAATAATTCACACAACACGACTCCTCTAACACCTCAATTCCCTCTCAATTATTGTCATCATTATTATTAGTTCGAAAGACGCTCATTAGTTTAAATTCACTTGATGTTCGCCTCCGCGAGCACAATCGTGATCATTCCAATTAATTATCACGGTCCGATAAACAATTTCTCAATTAGCAATATTATTTTTATTATTACGAACGATATTAGCCACTCAAGTCTGAATTCCGGGCACTGAAATCCTTTGTTCCGTCACAATTGTTGATAAAAATTGGAAATATTAATAGTATTGATTATTTCATTCTATTTGCATTCCTTATCACTATTTGTTGGAAGAATCTTCATTAATTCAATGCGCGTGACTTTTGCTTTCCAGCAGATCGTCACGGTCCGATAAACGATTTTATGTCAATTATTGTTATTAGGAATAACAATAGCCACTTCAATTAAGATTGCAAACACTTGATTTATTTTCTCTTCAATTTTTTATGAAAGTCAAATTAATTAACAACATTCTTATGTTGTTGGTCATTCATCATTGTTTAATAAACAATTTCTCAATTAGTATTATCATTTGTGTTGATAAAAATAAAAAATATCAATTGTGTTAATTATTTCATTTTGTTTTTATTCTTTATTATTATTCACTGGAAGGATCTTCACTGATTTAATTCACGTGATGTTTGCTTCCCGATTAATTGTCATGGTTTAATGAACAATTTTGTATCAAGTATTGTTATTAGGAATAACAATAGCCATTTTAATTATGATTGCAAACACTTGATTTTTTTTCTCTTCAATTTTTTATGAAAGTCAAATTAATTAACAACATTCTTATGTTGTTGGTCATTTATCATTGTTCAATAAACAATTTTTCAATTAGTGTTATCATTTGTGTTGATAAAAATAAAAAATATCAATTGTGTTAATTATTTCATTTTGTTTTTATTCTTTATTATTATTCACTGGAAGGACCTTCACTGATTTAATTCACGTGATGTTTGCTTCCCGATTAATTGTCATGGTTTAATGAACAATTTTGTATCAAGTATTGTTATTAGGAATAACAATAGCCATTTTAATTAAGATTGCAAACACTTGATTTTTTCCCTTCAATTTTTGATGAAAGTAAAATTAATTAACAACATTCTTATGTTGTTGGTCATTTATCATTGTTCAATAAACAATTTCTCAATTAGTATTATCATTTGTATTATCATGGATAGCACTAGCCACTCACGTCTGAATTTCAACCATTGAAATTCTCTCTTCGGTCCCAATTCTCGATAAAAATAAAAATATTAATTATATCAATTATTTTATCTTGTTTTTATTCTTTATTAATTCACTGGAAGGATCTTCATCGATTTCCGTGATATTTTCTCCCCAGTTAATTGTCACGGTTTAATAAACGATTTTATGACAATTATTATTACAATTCTCGTTATCAGAAACGACGATAGTCACTCAAATTAAAATTACAAACACTTGATTTTCTCCGCCTTTTGATTTGCGATAACAATAAGGATAATTAACAAGATTCATATGTCGTCAATTATTCATCACGGTTGGATAAATATTTTTCCACTTAATACTACTATTGCTATTCTCTCGAGTTAAAACCTCCAAGCAATTAAATTTTTTCTCCTTTCATAAGTCTTGGTGGATAAAACAAAATTAATAACATTGTCCACAGCGATTTTTATTATTTACTACCATTATTGTCCGTCGAAAGTCATCATCAATATTCTCTCAATGAATTATCACAGTTCAATGAACAATTCTTCAACTATCATTTTCAATTAACGATTTGTTAATGTCGTGAATAATAATAATCACTGAATTCTCTATGAAGCTTGAAAAAGAACTTCCGAGGATGCATTGGAGTCATTGAATATTCTTTATAATCGTTGCCACCACTGGTAATCAGATAACCAGAGCATGTAAAAACTCCGAGTGTGACTCTAGAGACGTCGGAGAATCGGAGAAGACTATCGCCGCTAGTTCCCCAGCGTGAGGATGGAAAAAAACACCCTCACATTCGCCCCTAAATCCCCGACTAATGCCACCCCACCCCACAGCTGTAGCACACGCTACACTGTCGCCCACGAACTTGGGCTGTTACCCCACGGCCCTCGTGCACCAACACATGCGCACGGAAATAAATCCACGAGGATAGCCCAGTACTCTGCATGATGAAGACGATAACCTCTCGTTACTGTTCATTCGGTGTTAATTATTGCTTAGTACGACTCTCTCGCGAGTGAAATCGAGGGATTAATGCGGGGGTCAATTTGTTATCGCGAGGGGAGGGGATTTACCGGAGAGTTCACACACGCACTAGTCAGCACAGGGGATTGTCCACTTATCGGGCAGACGGGTCTTGACGCATTGCACCAAGTGAATTTTCGGGTTTTTCCACTTCACTTCGGGACGATTTTTTGAGATTATTGGAGACGCGGTGAGGAAATATCGGGGGGAGGGGATACTCTGAATGACTTGATCGAGGCAGAACCGGGACGTGCTAGGGCCAACGGTACGTGACGGTCTCGGAGAGTCAGCTGAGAGACCAGACACAGGAGTCGAGGGGCGCAAACAATGTGCGCGCGCTCACTCTCGGTGTTCCCTCCACCACCTGCCCAGTGGCTCCCGCGAGGGCGGATTTTTCACTGCACTGCTGGAGCATTAGGCGTGGAATTTCGAGTCAGAAATTTAGATTTTTTTAAATGATAAATTTGTAGATTTGTTATCACTCGTGGGTAAAGTGAAATTTAACGCACCCTGTGCGCAAAATCTGACTTTCCATTGTGAGGAAAATAGGGTTCGACACTCGTGGGAGAAGTGCTCTGTGACCCTGGGGAGGGTAGCGCTTGCAGAAGGGCTTAAGTCTTAACACTTTATGTGATCGAATCGTTAATTCAACGATTTTCAATCATCAAATTTGTCAATGAAATTGCGGGAGAAAAATTGAGAAAATCGTGAATATTGCGCAACTATCTTCTAGGCGTGACATTGATCTATTATCAACATACAAACGATTGTTGGATCGTTTTCAAATGTATATGTGCCCTCACCATCTACTCTGGTAGACAAACTTAATTGAATTTATTGAATTAGAGGTTCAAGCTGATTACTTTTTCCAGATAACTACTGTTAACAATTTTTAGGTGAAACTCCCCATTATCCAGATTCCCAAAAATTGAAGATGAGTTCCTGACAATTAATGATATTTCCCTGAAAATTAGTGACAATATTTCTAAAAATTAAAGATAATGCCACAAAAAAATAATGACAAAATCACTCAATTTCAGAATTTTGCACACGTTGAATCCCTAAAAATTGTCAATAGATTCTTTCAAATTAGGGATGAATCACAAAAAGTCAGTGAAATCTCCCTGAAAATCAAAACGTTCTTCTCTCTCCACATACAGTTGACGTATATATTATTATTCATTATCAGAATGGGACCGCAAATCCATTGAATTTAGTAATAATGTCCGGGAGAGCGACATTGAATTCGATTTTAGAGGAAGAAAATCATGAAATTTCAGGTTTCTCTTGAAATTCAATGGAATTGAAAATGTTTCAGCAGCAGGAGAACGAGAACTCGCCAACTTAGTTGAGCTTTCAGTCAAAACATGAATATTCAGTACCAAATTATGCTGAATCTTCAATTAATTTAACATCCATTAATATATTTGCTTGAATTTTTCGAATGTCAATTAATTTTCATGGACTTATTGAACACGACAAATTTATTCTGTTTTAAGAAATTATTGCCGGGCTTTGGCCAGGCGACGTGACCTCGATTTTTTATCGCGTAAGGATTCTTATGAATTTTCATAGTGTAATTGTCGACTCCAGGTGATTAACAGGGGTTCCCCATTTTCGCTGCGTATTTTTTCCTCCATTGCTTTTTCATTTCTCTGTTGTTTTTGTGAGAACGAGCGGAAGGTCTCGCATTCAATTTTCTGAGATGTACAGGGAAATTTTTTATCGTATCAGCTATTGTTGAGGTCGTTCTCTCGTGTTCCCCGGGCTCTTCATAAATCCCTTTTTTATCTCAAGCATTTTTCATGATTCCGGTTCGTTGGGGGTTCAAGAGATTTTATCCAGAGTTCTGTTACACGAAAACGTCTGATGTACGTACCTCCTTCATCATTTATTTATCTACGGTTTTTGAGCGGAGTAAGAGTCTCAGACAATTTCAAGTGGAGAGGGGTTCATTTGTGTACCAAAGGAGATTGAAAAAACTCGTCGAATTTTTCTGCCTGATGCTATATGTTTTATTCATTTACGGGGTTGCAGAATTTTATAGGTCAGTCAATGGAAAATCACGACGGAATGTTCAGCAACAGACAGCGTCCCGGCTATTTCATTCAATTGAATTTATTGATTTTACTTCAATCAAGGGGATAAGAAAAATGGAAAATGAAAACCCTTTCACTCCAGTTTTTAATCTTCTGATTTAATGCAGAAGTGATAAAGCAACTGAATTAATTATTCACTGGAAAATTCTGAAGGAAACTTGTCGTTATTTATTCATTGGAAATGTTTTTTCTAGAAGAAAAATATACAGGCAGTCGGTGTTCAAATCCCTCGCCCCGCTATTGATATAAAATTCTATTTCTCATGACTTCAATTCCTAATTAATTGAATTATGTGATTAAAACTTTTACAATTATGTTATTCGTTGTCTCAGGACACCAGAACTTTTGATTCCCCCTAGAAGCTGACACAACCCCAACATCCCCGA